AATACATATCTATCAACAAGTGAATCTAAAAATCAAGTGAATAAAAAAATCTAACAAACAGGATAAACTGGTGAATAGAATATAATCAGGGGCATAGAGAGGGAGTGGACTGACAAGTCTCGGGAGGAAGGGGGTGTGGGGGCTGCGGGAAGAGACTGGACAAAAATTGTACACCTATGGACAAGGACAGTGGGGGGAGAGTAAGAGCATGGGGTGGGGTGGGAACCAGGTAGAGGGGAGCTATGGGGGGAAAAAGAGGAACAACTGTAATGATCTGAACAATAAAGATTTAATTAAAAAAAGAATATAGAATATTGTTGAAGAACTGAAAACTATAATGTATGTTAAAGCATTCTGTCAAGTACATTATGTAAGCAACTAATTTATGCTATCATGATTATAAATATTATTTTCTAGAAGTTGCAGGAGCACCTGGATCTCATCCCAAATGCATAGGTACATTCATTGTGGCAAATTTTACAAAGAGGAACTTGCCTCTACAAAATAAAATTCATGACAATTATCAGGAAATAAAAGGTAGACTAGGAAGTAAGAAACTGCTTTCTAACCAGGAGAGAAAGGACAGCAAGACAAATAATAATGTAATAACTTCTTTGGAACTCTGAGTTTAGAACTCTGACGTTCAGAGAGACAGTGTTATAATTGCCTACCAGTCTAATATTCTCCATTCCAAAACAGAGAAACCATAATAATTTTTTTCTTTGATTAAAATAAAGAAAAAAATTTAAAAATACTAAACCCACTGTAAAGAGAGAAAAGGAAAAATAAACCGTTATTCTTCAATGCAAGACACCCATTGAGAACAGTGTAAACAGAGGTGGCAATTTTGATAATAAAGACTAGAGAGAGAGACCACAGTAAGAACACAGACCTCTGTTTTGCCAAAGGCTACAGCTATTGAGGTTTAAGACTCTAGACTTACTGACCCTGCATCTTTCCAGAAACTTTACCACTCTTGGCTAAACTGTTGAAAACTCACATTCCATTACATCGCTCTGCAGTCCTAGCAGTATTCTAGATTGTAAAAAAAAAACTTGAGTAAGTCCCTTTGAGTGATATTTTCTCAGATTCCAGGGAGTGGGATAAGAATATGGTGGACTAGGATATCAAAACTTAGCTCTAGATAAAGAAGCACTGAGCAGAACAGATCCTATACTATAATCTATTGTTATTATTGCCCCAAGCAAATGATTAATTCCACATGCAAGAATTCTTCAAAGGAGTAGAAACATCTAGCCTGGTTATGGAATTTCCAGAAGTTGGCTTATATCTAATTGAAATATAAGTACCCTTCACTTTATAGAAAAAATAAATTTCAGAAGACTGATCAAAGTGAATCCTTTTTAAATTGTCAAAATCCTCTTAATAGTCAGGGATTCCTTTCCTAAGGGAAAGTAACTCTTCAACTAAAATAAGACATTGAGCCTGCACCATTCTAAATACCCATCAGTCCATGTGTCCAGAGTGCCCACTGTCAATCCACATTGTAAGAAAGTCTCTCCTGCCTAATGACTGCCTAAAACACCCATCTGGTGTTCCTGGAACTTTATTCTGATAGACTGTTTTCTTTCCCCAAAGTTTAGGTTGTCTAATACACCTTAATTACATTGTCAATAGAGTTTTAAACCAAACATGCTATTATTCTAATTTAGACATTCCTTAAATTTAAGCTACAATTTAGTAAGTTTCCATTGTTTACTTTGTCAACTTGGTAAAATGAAACAAGTCGTAAGTTTAAATTCCCTGTTTTTCCTTCACTTAGACCTCTAATTAATCTTTCCTATCTTGCAATGACCATTGATGAAAGGCTATCCTGGAACACCTTCAGTATTGGGTCACTGAGTCATACAAGTTTTCACGTTTACTATTACTTTTGGAGGTAGAATCAAACAATGTCACAGAAATTTACAAGGCAAAAATAAACACACACACACACACACACACACACACACACACACACACATATATATATATATATAAACAATAGCATTCTAAATTGAAAATATTTGTTCTTAGAGTTATTTTATTATAATATTACTAGAATATAATTATTCAGTAAATTTATAAAATTAATGGATTATAATGCCAGTGATATAAGAATATTTTAAAAAACAACAAAGAATTAACAATCAGTACTACCCAGTAGATTAAAAACTATTTTTAAATCAAGGTAAAGAAACCAAGAGGTGAGAAAATTATCTGAGTTTCATTACTATAAAGTGTCTCTTTCTTGACATTTGAAGGAAAGAATAGATAGAGGTCAAAGTCAAGGGTGAAATAAATTTTCAATACATCACTTACTTCTTTGTATCCAAAGATGATGCGTCCGTCTATGAGGAGGGTTGCCTGGAATGTGAAGCTTCCCAGGTTGTAATTATCCTGGAGATGTACGTGGTCCCACTGGACAACAAGTGCTGTGCCTGGAAACCCCATCGGAACAGAAGAAACACAACGAGAAAAGCATATCAATCGATTCTGGGTGGAGCCTTCACAAGATATATGGATCTAGCCTTCCAATCTAGTAGTTGTGCTACTTAAGTTTTATATGGTTAATGGAATTCTGTAACTGAAATAGCATTTGGCATACGGTGAGCTTTCGGAACATACTAAAATCATGACATAGATACATTTGGCCCTGAAGATGATGATTAACACCAGTTTGATGCTATTAGAGATGACGATGAAGACACTGATGATATCTAAATTGAACTCAACATTTCTGAGCATTATTCTACAGTTTGGATTTTGGCCATCACCTGTGAAGAAGACTAAAACTTCAGCATGAATGCAAGTTCCTAAGGCATAACTAAAATCATGACATAGATACATTTGGCCCTGAAGATGATGATTAACACCAGTTTGATGCTATTAGAGATGACGATGAAGACACTGATGATATCTAAATTGAACTCAACATTTCTGAGCATTATTCTACAGTTTGGATTTTGGCCATCACCTGTTAAGAAGACTAAAACTTCAGCATGAATGCAATTTGCTAAGGCATGCTGATTTATTTTCATTATTTTTAAAGGATTCATTATATCCCTATAAGTAAAATGTTAACACTTCATTATTTTGCTTTAATGGAACTTAAGGGTAAAAGACCACAATATCTGCCGTTAAAATAAAAAGAGAGAATGGATAAAAGAAATGTTTTCCAGTTTTAAAAAATTAGCATTTGAAATATTGCTAAAGAATTGAGTATTCTCTAAATATTTGGTAAAATCTAACCTCATACTGAGGTTAATATTGAGCCCAGTATGAGGGGATTTTGCCTTAGGAAGTTCATTAGTGTTAATGGGTATTATCTGCTTAAATTTCCATGAGTCACTTTCAAAATGCAGCCCAAGTGATTTGAATGAATTTCAAATACATTGAAAAATGCTGAGAGAGAAAGGAACACATTCAGGAAAGCTAGAATTGCTTAATATAAAAGACCCGAAAATGGCTCTTCCAGACTTAGAATTATACCTTTCCATGCTGAAGAAATTCCTTTAACCTGAATGGAAATATTCTTCTTTGATTCATAATGCCTGCAGTTCTGTCTTTGTTGTATTGCCTTGAGAAGGCTGCAAGGTATCTTAAAGGTCCCCAGGCTCAGATTTCTGAAGCCTCCATGAAGTACACTGGGAAAAATCTTTAGTGCTATATATCATGTTCTAATGAGTCAATCTACCAGTGTTTACGATAAAACTATTAACATGGGGTATAAATTGGAACACAGTTTAAAAGGCACCAATGAGAATTCACATATTTGTTTTAACGGACATTGTTTTTTCCATATTTTTTTTTAAGAAAACAAATGAGCAGCTAATATTTTTGCTTAGCTCTAAGTATTGGATTTTCTGTTTGGTTAAAAAATCATTTTGTCAAAAAATGTTTTACAGAAAATGAAACTCACAGAAGTAAAAGAGCAAAACCAGCCTTCCAGGTCCATAAAAATCTGATTAAAAAAGAAAAAGTCAAGACTGTATGACAGAGCTACTGGGTTGGTGAGGATGGAGGTGCAGGGAGAGTCATGCGCAGAGAGGGCATGGACGTCCACACCCCTTCCCACACACCTTACCCCCTGCATTCCTTCCCTCTGGCTGTTCCCTCGCTAATGGCTGCACCAGCTGACCCATGCAGAACAACACTGTCTTTACTTGCTTTTGAATATAACTTAGCCTGAGAGCTTTTTACCAAGATGGCAACATAGGAGGCCCCTGAATTTCCTTCCTCCAATCGGCACACTAATTGTTGTGGATGAAAAGGGGCCACATGCTATCCTGACTGACTAGATCTGGGTGGCAGCCTGGCAAATTCAGAGACCTAAAGGAACCACAAAGGGTGGTCTAAAATGAAAAAAATTAAAACTACAAGTAGTTTATGGTGGGTAGTCATGTCCTAGGCCAGTATCTTCCCTGACAAAGGTCAATCTTTACCTTAACTGAGACTGTCCATTGTCTTTTTGCATCTATGATAACATATATTGTTGGAATGTCAAAGTCATTTTCCTTTTTTCCCTCAAAGCACAGGCACCGCTCTGCGGAGAGCACAGATCCCCTCATTATTATTGAGTTAATTGTTGACTGTTAACTGTCCTGCACCCGCCTAAGTAAAAGAAGTATGTGTCTATCATGTTACTTTTTATCAATCCCAGAATTTCCCCACTTTGTTTTCTCCTAACTCCCTGATCTATCACTAAA